TGTACGAGCAGAATTCATATGGAAATAAGAAAGCTATATATTCTTCACCCACAATCTTTTCTACGTCTCTATCAAGATATCCTTATTTTAAGCACAAGCCTCCCTCCCAAAGCTCATCTTTCCAGCTTTTCCAAGACACGCAGTCTTCTGCATACTACTGTTTCTCTTACTAGCATACATATATCAATCACAAAGATGACAAAAATGCAGTGATATATTGCAGTACTCATCAAAATTACACAGACAGGCTCAAAAGCAAAAGGTTTAAAAGACAAAACAGTGTTTTAGGGAATGGAAATCAACTCCTACCTTACAATTCCTATACTTAACATTTGCTACTATTCTGCTCCAGTAACTGCTCTTTTGCTTGTTACTTCACCTTAATTTTAGCATTCAAGTGCTAAGGACCTACATAAGACCTACATAAATTATACATGTTCTCACAGTACCAAGACCATTCTGCCAGGCTGAGCTACACAGCATCATCTTCCTTACCTTTTAAGGTCACCAGAATCATCCAGCCATGACCAAAAAAGAAAAGGGGTGGGGAGGAGAAGGAAGGGATTCACATCCAGATTTATATTTTTCACCTTGATACTGATTACTTCACAACTCAACGTGCAGCTTTTGAGACTGAGCTAATGGCAGTTTTGGGTTGCTCTAGAGGTAATGCCTAATACCTTGAAAGGAACTTTGACCAAGTCCTTGCCCAGGTGCGCAAGGAGATAAGCATCATACTTTTAAATCTGAAGCATCTATTCACAACCAAAAACCAAGGAAGGTCTGAAATCTATTTTGAGGCACTTTACACCAGTCGGTCAAAGAATGAGGACAGCTCTTCAAACACGGCAAGTTTCTTCTAGCAAAGTAAGGTTAGCCGATCACTTCCACTTGCCTTGTTCTTCTGCTTCACTAGCATCTTTGCTAAATTGATTCGAGATATATTCCCTTCAGGCTTCACAATGGACTTGTACTTTACACCAGCCAGATGTCAAAGCAATGCAGAAAATAGTCTACTTCGCTATTTACAAGGTTAATTAAAGAAAATACTTATACATATAAACTCTATATGCACAAACATGTGTTTAACAAAGGATGGTCAGAAATTACTAAAAGTGTAAAGAAAAAGATGCAAGCAGAACTACCACCCTACTCTATAAATATCTAAAATAAGCCCTAACAAAGTAGTTCTGTGAGGCTTGTAAGAGCAGCCATCACCAAAGCCACCTGACAGTTCTCTATTAAGGCCACTTGCAATCACTTAAAAGTTTGCTACTTAGTCTGAATGTTTCCAAGCGTCCACTCCAGATGATTTTTCTTCATCCTCCTCCCACAAGCATCTTTAAAAAGTCCTTGAATGGCTGGAACATTTTTAAACCATGAAAAAAAAATATGGGAGAAAAAGCTCTCCTTTGAAAGGCTCTGCCCTTGAAAAATAGTAAGCATTTTCGTGCCTTGAATCAGCATCTTGAAACCAGGCTTGAAAATCTTTCCGCGAGATCTATACTTTGCTCATTTTGTGAAAAATCTGCCAAGATTTGGACGAGCTACAAGCCTCAAGAAATCTGAGTATGTAAATATTTAGTGACGAGATCTGCTGGAGCTTGACAACCAGTCTCCAAAAGGATGTATCCTGAGCGAGCTTCATCACAGCATCTCACAGTGCAAGTGCCAGTCCCATAAAGCAGCCCAATCAAGTTTCCTCTAACCTTTGGTTACCAGTGAAGAGCCAGATATTCCCTGCAAGAAAACTCTGCATGGAGCAGGAACAGGCACCTCAAGGAATAGAAAGTGCCACCTCTCATACATATGGCAGGCCCACCTCTTTAACACCAATATCTCTACAACAGTTTGGCAGAGCAGCCTTCCAGCTCGCGCCGTCGGATTTGGGACACAGCCCAGTGCTCCCCCCAGCTCCCATCTTAATTGAAGCAACAGTGATGCCCATCTCCTAGATCTAAAAGCTCCAACGCCAATGTCCACATCACGTAACATCTGTGCTCTCACTTTGCACTTTTTTGTTGTTTTGAACTAGAAAAATACACGCAGAATCATATTTATAAAAATATTAATGAAATAATCAAGCTTGGAAGTTTAATTCCTTGCAGGTCACAAATCTGTCTACGAGCTTTAATTTACTGTCATTAATGCTGTATGTTCCTAAACTATCTTTTGTATCTTTATTTAAATAAGATGACTTTCACAGGGAAAGAATCAGAGGCATATTTTGAAAAAGAATATTCTTTGTAGGACTCTTATTTCAACAGTAAGGCACTTAAATATTACACAGCAGAACAGTTTTCTAACCAAGCTTTTGCCACTAGACTCCTTAATTGCATTAATCACATTACTGTGTATTACAGTATGCTGCAAGATCCTTTTAAGCTTCCACAGTCACAAGCTTCTCCTCAGACCACTAAAAATAAATACCATCCCATTTTCAGTTTTTACACATAAGTCAAAAAAACAATGCAAGAACAGCACACAACACTACCAAGAAAAAAAAAGAAAAATCAATAAAAATAAACAGGCAGTCATGAATGCCTGTTAAAAGGTAACTCTGCAAAAGAAAACCTTGTTTTGTCACTGAGCTGCTTTACAGTCAGACTTAATACTCAAAAAGAAAAGAAAAAAAATCTAAAAGGATATCTGGAGGAAAAGCACAAAGACAGAAGACATTCCTGATTATAAAATAAACTATGACTACCATAAGGATGGAGTAATACTGTAAAATACATAAAAGAAAAAAATTAAATGGTAAGATATGCATTATTTAAATTGGACTATATACATATATATGTAAAAACATATATAATCACAGAGAATTAAGATTACAAGCACAAAACAAATACAGTAGTATTTGTTTTCAAAGAAATCCAAGAATTAAGCCAATCTTTCACTTCATGCCTGAAATCACCACTTGCAGCAGTTGAACACAAAAGGCGGAGACACATAAGAGTGTCTTTCTAATTAACCAGCAAACACTGAGATCTCTAATTTTCATTAGCTTAGAGAAGAAATAAAGTATGGAACTAATTTAAACTCTAACTCTACCCTATTTTTCTGTTAGTAACCAATGAAAAAAAGAAAATCTCAGTACCAACTTTTAAATGTGATTTCCCCCCCCGCCTTCACTTGACAAATTTTAAAGTTTCAACTTTGTAAAAAGTTACAACTTACAACTACAGGCAACTAAATTAAACACTTCCAAGTCAGTAATACTTCCCTCTCTATCTTCTTTCTATACATGCCAGGAAGGAAAAAGGCTATGTTTCGCTACCGTAGTAACTAGGCTTGCAAGCTTCGCTTGCTCAGTTAATTTCTGAGCTCCAACAACTTTTAGACACACACACACACTCTACATCAGATACATCAGTCCAAAAGCCAGCTCCAACACAGCACTGCACATGTTCTCAGTAGCCAAAGACCAACTCTGAATTCTCTCAACACTTGCTCTTTTAAAGCAAGTCTAGCACCTTTGGAACAGCACATCTTTCAATTCTGGAAGTTTTGAATATTTACCTGGTTATGGTGAAGAAAAAAAAAAACATGTTATTCAATATAATTTATAGTCTGGCCATGACAAAAGAAAAATCAACATCCAGGCATATTGTGAACAACACAGAAAGAGTTGATCACAAAAGATCTCACTGCAGCATAAGTTCATGTTCTTTTTTGCGAGTGCTCATTTCAGAGTGCAACACATTTTCCTTCTACTTCAGCCAAGCATGATTTTGTTCATCCACTAGTATCTAAACAATGTTATCTACACTACAAAGTCAACAGCTTGTATTAGCTAGCAAGCAAGAACTGCATTTCTAATTCTAAGAGTGAAGGTTCAGTGTTTTAAAATGAATTTTCCATGGTGTTTATTAAACACTTTTAATGATCCGCTCTCTTTCCAGATATTATCTGTAGGCAAGTATAACGATGCAAACAAAAGCTGACAGATTTCATTGCCAAGAACTCATACAGTTTGTACCAGACCAAAATATAACATTTCATCGGAAATATTAACTTTAAGATCATTCTAATTCAGAGCATAGGAATAAATAGAGCTGGTCAGTAATGATTCTTTCAATCATCGTTCCTGTTCAAAAACATATAAGAATGTTCACTGCATTTTCCCCTACATAACCATTTCTACCGTTTTGCCTTCATATTCCAGTTATTCACGTCACAATCATTTTCTTCAAGACATAAGTGTGTATGTATAATAAAGGACTTGAAATACTTCTCTTCGAAGCAGAATATGAGGTTAAAAGAAAACAAAAGAAAAGAATAAAATAAGAAAAGAATATATCTAGACAAATAATCTCTAGCAAGGTTGGAATAGTTATTTATAGCTTTTCACGGAAGAGTCTTCTAACACAATGGCATACATCATGACTTTGTAAAATAATTTCATTCTTTTGCGCAACAGTCCTATTCATGTATAGTTTAAAAAGAATGAATATATAAATATAGCCTGCCTCTCCTGCTGTTTCTTCTACTACGCCCTTTAAAGATGGAAAAACAACTGATCTTTGGTATCAAGATGAGTAGAACTTGCTATTCCCATACAAGATACGTAGACCACTGGCTACAAAGCACTGTCAAAACAAACAAGAGTCAACAGCTGTTTTGACTGCCTTGCTGTGCTTAGTTGCACTAACAAACTTAGTTTTCTGGAAACACTCTAACAGCTCCAAGGTCAGTAAGAAATTCATTATTTGCAAGAACAGGCTCAAAGTCTATGGAAACATACTTAGACCTATACGACCATTATACAAAGGCTTAGTGGCAGCAGCTGTCTTCTCTCTCCAATATACCACGGCCTGGGGCAACGTGTTTGCTGCCAGGAACGCGCTGAACGCTCCCAGACAGTCAGTGGTGTATTTACTCTTGCAGACGGGAACAGGATTCTAGCACCCTGTTGCAGCATCTACAACAGCCAGAACTCCAGTAAAGTTTCAAAATGCCAAATGGAAAAGCCAGGGCAGAGTGCACCAAACGCTTACCTGCTGAGCTAAGCAGAACGTTGAAGTCGGTTCCTCTCTGCGACTCCGCGCTGTCGTTCTCTCTCTCTGCATCCTCGTAGCGGCTCCAGTTGGAAACGATCTTTCTTCTCGAATAGCTTTTCAGGTCTTCCTTTTCTTCTTCCTCTCGCAACTCATCATCGCCACCCTCTCCCTGTGAAATTTAAATGGCCAGTTGAGCCACTGCAACCCAACAGCATTTCATCCCGCAGTTAAACAGTCACGCCAACAACCCCAGCCACAGAAGCAAAGCCCAGACAGACAGACAAGCCTGGACCAGCAGCCGTGCAATCAAGCTTTTCAATTAGGTGCCACCATTTGTCCTGAAGATAGCTCCTTATTACTGAAAGTCCCTAGCAAAACTTCAGTGCTGTTTGGGGACATGGATTCATCTGCTGCCCTTTCCCCCCTGTTCTGGAAGCCCAAAGCGAGCAGCTTCCTTCCTGATAACCAGCATTGTGGGGAGCAGAGCTAAGAATTTAACAGCAGTGCCTCTGTGCAAGGGCTGCAGTGGTACAGGGGGTCAGTTATAGGGCTCGTGTTTGTTGAATTGCACAGGAGAAAAAAAAAAAAAAAAGACAACATAAAACTGTCAAAAAACCCCATCACATAAGAGTGATCTGCACAGAGATTTCCATTACGGCCAACTGTGTGCTCGAGTAATGTGAAGTAATTCAACACATATTTCCTCCATGAAAATCTTTTTAATAAAATATGCATGGAAACAGAAGACAGACCACAGGCAGCCAAGCTCAGTCCCCTCCAGAAAGTAAGGGGGTTCTCCCTTCCCTCTCCAAGGGGGAACTCACAGCAGAGTCTGCTGAGGATTCAAGCAAAATGGGCATCAGGAGTCGGGTCACAGAAAGCTCTCCTTGGGCCCAGGCATTACAGGGGTCTCCTCTCCCAGAGCATGGATTAGAGCTGGAATGGCAATTGGTTCTCAAAGGGAAGACCTGAGCACCATGAGAGAGAAGCACTGAGCGCAGCAGCATTTCGGTGCAAAATACCTTCTATGGAAGCCCAAGCCCCTTCCCAAACACCTCCAGGCAGTTCTCGTCCTCTCATAAACCATTGTGCTCCTGACATAAAATTCAATTTTGCTATCACAAGAATAAGTTCATTCTTCATAACTAGGGCAGTGAAATTCAAGTTCTTCTATGTTAGTATGTTACTGAGAAGTTCAGTCACCCCATTCAGCATAAAATATTTGTGAAAAGCAAAGCTGCCTTTCTGTAAGTCATTATATATTAACAAGGCAAATGTCATTTCAGCTCACCATCACGAATGTTCTTAAGGCGAACTTTAGCTTTAAGAGCTTAAACCAAATGTAACCCTGAATTAAGTGTGAAGAGCAATTAAAGTCAAACTGAACACCCTTGTAAATGAAAAGCTGCAACATCACATGTAGAAAGGTTACTAAAAAGAAATCATATACAGCAATGCAGCCCAGGCCTTATACTAGCGCTTAGGACTAGTTTTGAAAATGCAGTAAAAATGACCAAAACTAGCAGTGAGGCCACTGTGAGGCAAAAATCCACAAAAATCAATACTATCAATACTGAGGGAAGAGCCATTTCATGGCTTTTATACCCACTGCAGAGCACATTTTAAACTTGGCTGTGGGAGATGAGATCTTCCCAAAAGAGTCTCACATTGCTGCACATCACACAGCAAAATCAGAACTAGAGTAACAACCTCGCCCCCCACAAACAACTCCCCAATAAAGCAAGCTTCTCTATCACTGTTTGGGAGCCTGATCAGCATTAAGGAATGGTGAAATCATCGAACAGCAAAATAAGCGGGTTGAAAACCTACTACAATTAGTAAAAAATAAATTTAAAAAGATTTATCACATTTTAATAGAACAGCTGACAACACAGGAAAAATCTGTGCATTTTCAATACTGTGTAATTTGTTTTCATTTTAGGTAAATTCCCTTTTCTTTCTATACATCACATATATACACTAAAATAGCTGTTGTAGACAAGTGGTTGCATAACTAAGGCAGATGAAATCAGAACTGTATTGGGAACTGATCCACAGCTATAGTTTCCACAAGACAAACACCAAAAATCATTTATCTGAAGAATCAACTTGTTTGCTGTTTTTCCCCTCCTACAACTGAAATGATTTGCTAAAATCTAGCAAGTCTAGGGTAATTCAGTCCCCAGAATAAATTGGAGATGATACGATCCACACGTCAAATCAAGAATAGTGCTACAGAGACACATCCATGTTTTATTTTCTTCGCGTTTCTAAGAAATTGAAAAAAAAAATCTGAAGGAATAAAATCACCCTAAGCAATTACAGCACTATAGCTACTTACTTCCTTTGAACCTGTCGCATTTATTCCTTTCAGCCATCGGCATAAACACAACAGGAATATTATATTCTTATTTTAATCAGCTTCTAGTGAACTAATGTAGATTCAAACAGTTCTACTTAAATGTGAAATACTGGACTAAATCCTTTTCACATTTTGCCATTAGCTGTGTTAAACAGCACATCTCAAGGAAACCACATTTCTTAGCTGTTAAACTGCCAGCTTGAACTTTAAGAAACAAACCACAAATTCTCAGGAGTGTTAACTGTGCCACCGAGTTTCCCAAGCACCAGCTGGGATTTACTTTTGAAATGATTAAACTGGAAATGCACACCTGCTTACATTTCTAATAAAATGTCTCACCAAAGATTTCACATAATGCATTGCCATGCTATAGAACAGGCCTACAAATAACTACATATTTAAATATTTGCCATTCAAAACAACTTAAGAGATGCATTTTCACCATTCTAATTTTGGATTATCAAATATATAAAATATTATTTTTTTCCTGATCAGTGAAGTCTCAGAAATAATTTGCTTTCACAGTCTCATATGAAATCACTAGAGTCTAAAGCTCCACGTAGGTACCAACAGAGGGGATCTCATCCATATTAGTGTCCCAGAGGAGGCTGCCAGGAGGATGGGGCCAGACTCTTTTCAGGGGTGCTCAGCAAGAGGGCCTGAGGCGATAGATACAAACCAAAACACAGGCAGTTCCACCTGAACGTGAGGAAGAACTACTGTGCCTTGAGGGTGGCAGAGCCCTGGCACAGGCTGCCCAGGGAGGCTGTGGAGTCTCCTTCTCCGGAGATCTTCCAAACCCACCTGGATGCTGCCCTGTGCCCCGTGCTCTGGGTGTCCCTGCTGGAACAGGAAGGTTGGACTAGATCTCTAGAGGTCCCTTCCAACCTCAGCTGTTCTGCGATTCTGGGACCTTGGAAGACATAAATAAGCGTAATGTTTTCTATAGGACTTGCCTCTTACCTGCTCACTGAGGTGGACTATGTGCTACTACCGTTGCCATTGCTCCTTGCAGAACATGAGACAAGTCTTAACCAGTGCAGAGCAGACATCTGCTCTGCAATGAAAAAATACCTCCCTCCAAAGAACAAATGATACGAGCTGAAACAAATTCTAAAAGTCAACTCAAAAATAACCTTTAAAACAGTATGACTCAGGGAACAGAATAAAAAAATTAACGTCTTTAAACAATTTTGAGCTTTATCTATGCATTAATGCTCAGTGCTTTAATGTAGCATGGTATGAAAGCAGGCACAATAAAAAGCAAGCACAAACACGCAGCACCATTTGCACATTTCACTGCAATTTTTTTCTGATTCTCCATGATTTTGAAACTGGGGGCAGTACACAAAATCCAATGGGTAGAAATAAATAGAATCAGGAATCCTTCATTTCAGACTGTGCACTGAACAATACACACATTGTGTGCTGTCCAAAAATGAAGCCAACTAAAGCCCTCTAACAACGGCCAAGGAGCCAACCTGCCCTCAGACCTCACAGGAACTCGCAGTGTGGGCTCTTTGGGATTTGCCAGAAGTTGTGACCCTGCTTTACTTTGGAACAAAGTAACTCATGATCTTTATGCTTTAAAAGGTTTCCCAAAATAAGAGTCTGTACACAGAGACTGCCATGAGTGCCTACAAGGTAGATGGGTTGATCCTTCCTGAGTGGTTCCTCTAGGCAAGCATAACTGGACATGGGAAAGGTTTGCAGTTATACAATGATGATGATGATGGTGATGGCTTAAATTGCTCTTGCAAAGACACATTTGCTTTTAATTTCATGTCTCAAAGTTGTTGCTGGTATATATAACCATAGAGGAGTAATGGGGCTGCATCAGAAATTAGTGCAATATGAACACAACAGCTTCAAAAAGATTTCATTCTGTGCTCATTTTATATATTTTTATATTTATATATATATAAACCAGGAACATACAGGAGAATGCCCTGACAGCTTAATTTTCTCTGTCTCAATGACTGACAGGCTTATAACTTATGATAGATACAAGTAGCATAATTGTCTTCCACAAAGTTACTCTAATTTTCCATATTTACTTATATCTTATACATCTACGCCTCTTTTTTGTCTGGCAAGCAATTAGGGATTTATTAAACTTAAAACTAAAATGGGTAAAAGTACACTCACCTTTCCTGGTTTATTGCAGGGGAAAATGTATGGGCTAAAAGTAGGAAATCTATAGGATATTAACATTAATGTTAAAAAAGAAAAACAAAAAAGTGCCTCTTTTGTCACTACTGCCTGAAAAGAGGAAGCCCCTCCAGCCAAACATTCTTTGGGTTTAGCAAAGCTGTATCATGACCAAGAGCCAGGAGGCTACCAGTCCTGCTCCATCTTTTTCACAGATCATTATTAGCATTTCCACAAGCGGTGGCCACGTTCTGAACAAATCTACCACTTCACCGAACTGGAACAGCAGCTTCTATGAGGACCTAAATCTCCCCCTTAGGCGTTCAGCACTATAACAAAATACATATACCAAAAAAAGGCAAACAGTCCAAATATTTTGTTTGTAAATACTGCTTTAGGTGGTAAACCATCTCCCCTCTCAAAGAGCTAGAACAGAAGCCACAAATTCTCGCGTTCTCCTTCCACTGCAGTGTCAGAAATGGCTGCGTAAGGTACAAGCCCATGAGGAGCTGTCCCCTCTCCTTCAAATGGGTGGAGAAAACAGAAGGGGGGAAAAAACGACCGTCTGCCACAGGTTCCTCCTCTAAATCTCCCCACACAGTTTTGTTCTGCAGCTCCTAAAGACCCTAGCTGAGAAATAAATTTCTCAAATAAAAAAAGATCATGTAATGAAAAATTGCTAACAGAATATATATACACAAGAAAAAGCTCTCAAAGGTGCTCTTTTCTAGAATTAAAGCTAGAATGGGAAATACAGGAAAGCCTCTCGCAGTAAATATTTGTTTAGGAAAGAACATATTAAAATATTTTGTTTATTAGAAACAGAATTTGCCAGGCTAGAAAATCTCCATCTGAAATACAGCCCAACTTGCACAACTGAAGGATACGAGAGCTCGGCCACCACCACGGCCCGGCTCACGTCAGTCACTACCTGGCAGACCCAGCAGGGAAATAACTTGATGCCTTACTAAGTTTCCTGTTATTACTCTCTATTTACTTACAGTAACTTGCAAAAAAAGAGTATGTTTTTATGACAAACACTCAGATGAAAAGTGCAAGTTTAAACATAAAGCGAGAGCCTTGATCTTGGCAGAAGCAACAGGTTTCAGTCAAGCCCTGCAGAACAGCTACCCTGCCACAAAGGCTACACCACTTTTACTGACTGCTGCTGGGTACAGGCCACGTTTGACAAAACTGGAGCTTTAACATATTGCATACCTAAGGATCTGTATACATATTTGAATAGGGGACATCACATCCCCAAACCAAATTCAGGAGCATTCTGAAAAGGCTATGAAATTTTTCAACAAAAAATGGAAGCATTTCCAGAGTATTTGTTCTTACTAAGTCTGCAGCTCCTACATGAGAGCTAAAAATAACCTGAGCTATCCTAGCAATTGACTGCCTGCAGAGACAGGCTCAGTCCTGCTGCTGTTCATGCCACCCAAGCCCAGCAGAGCTCAGGCTGGACGGGAGCACAGGAGGGCACCTCGT